GGGGGTAACGAGCAGGGGAGTACGGGGAGGGGGGTGATCCATAGCTGGAAGGTTGTTGTTGGTGGTTCGGATAGCCGTGAGGTTGACGGGTTGTGGGATTGCCCTGGATTGGCGGAGAAGAGGACCCATTGTTCGACATTGGGGGGTTGGACTTTTCAGGGGGAGGAGGAGGAGAGGTTGTCTGGCCCGAGCTCGCCATGAGTCTGCGTAGCTCATTTTCGAGATAATCTATTGTCTGCTGTGACGTGCGAACGTTTTGTTCTGCAAGTGCTGCTGCAGCGCGGTCCGAAAGTGAGTTTAGGAGCAGTTGCGCGCCCTGCAACATTCGTCTCTCCTTTGCGATCTTGTCCTCAATGGTTCGTATTTGATCGTCCATGGTTTCGGCTCTTTCGGAGGTGGATGATAGTAGAATTCGTCTGTTGCTACAAAGCCGCCTAAGCAGAAGAGATCGGTGAATCCAGACACGAACCCCGTTCAATTACCAGAAACTTCTTGTCAGCTATCACGATTCACTCGTGTGCCGCTCGCAGCCCTCCATTTTCGTGTCATCACCCCTCGTGGGGCTAACATCCCCAACCACCATCATCACCCGCCCCACATCGTCCGGAATTTCCCCGCCTCCTTTGCATTCACTTACGAGTTCAAAAGTCTCGCTTATCTTCCCACCCTCCGTTCACCCAAATCCAATCCAAATACGAACGTCCAAGCGAATTCGCAGTCGTTCGATTGCTTCCGGGAACTCAATCCTCAATCCCAATTGGCCCTTTCTCTCAGCGTTCGCGTCGAGCGTTTTGCCGACGACCGCGGCGAACGGGGTTATTCAAAGCAAAAGTCGCGGTCGAGTGAGTGGATGGAGTGGCTGTGCACGGCGGCACCCACACAGCAACCACGAAATCTCGTCGAGTGTAAAGGGAGGTCAAAAAATTACTAATAAGGGCCGTACATTGCTCCAAATAATGGCCAAACTACGAAGTAATACCGAGCCATTTCCGGCTCGTTGGGTTCTGTTGTGCCCTATACGTAATCAGTTGAAGGGGAATATGCTCGGTTTGAACGAGCTTTTTTTGCAGGGAGTTGTTCTTGTGTGTGAGGATAAATGTGAAGGACCCAAGAACTCCCAAGCCACAGACCCCCGCGGCAATTGCCGCGTTTCAGTCTTTTGAGAGCACAATTGCCGCGGATGTGGCGATACTTGTGCTCTGATTTTGTTCTTGAGTGAAACGGGCGAAGGCGGGCAGCAAGACGGGCCGGGTCGTCACCTCGTATTTTTACCACTCTCGTCACGCCCATTTCAATAACCATTCTTTGCACGCATTCCAGTGTATGAGACAGAATTCACTTACTGTAAACCGGAAAAGCGAGTAGCCGGGATCGAACCAGCGACCACGTCAACATAGTTTTTCAGTTATTGGCCGCACACTTTCACCAAGCTCCATTTGAACATGAAGTGCTGCAAGATATCTATTCGAAAATGCTCAAAAGAGGGTGTCCGGGTTACCGGGATCGAACCGGTGACATTAACTTTGGCGAGAAGCAACTTACAGCGTTACGCTCTTCCAACTGAGCAAACCCGGGTTGCTTAACTCTGTGTATCTCTTCACCGATAGCCCGCTTCCATGCTAGAACACACATCGCGCAATTTACAGCACTTCGCCAATGAGCGTGAAGGGGTTTCCGGGCTCGCCACCCCTAAGTTCGTCATCGGTCGCACATCCCCCCAAAGCACCGTGTGCTTCTCCGAAAGTGGCGAGAGCAACAGGCGCTCAAGGAGACTCGGGCGCTGCGGGAGAAGTTTGAACCTGAGCAAGCGGGTCTTCAAGCGATCCTGTCAGCCATAGATGACGAAGTAACCAAGTGCAGACACAAAATCGCAGAATAAGTATACTCGGTCATAGGAAAGGCTCCCCTCCAAGCACCTCGTGCGACCTTCGTCACGACGACCATGCCGTACCCGGCGCCGAACTCGGTCTTGTCTCTACTGCGCTTCAGCGCAGCTCCACCGACGAATGCGCCATTTGTTTGCAACCCCTTCATCTCGGAATTGCCGCTCAGAATGAACCAAGCAGCACCAAGACACGCCGTCGTGTCAAGCCGCTCTTACTGCTCGACCCGTGTGCACATGCTTATCATCGACGATGCTTGACCAACTTGGAGAGGTTCTCTGGGAAGCGCAGGTGCCCGATTTGTAGAGGGGTGTATGTGAATACTCTCTTAATTGGAGCACAAAGCGAATAATTACTGTAGATCTCGTTGATATGTTGCTGTTGAGAGAGTGATGTGTAAGCCATCCAAGCACATTTAAAAGCGGACGACCACAGCACGGTACCGAAACTCTCCTATTTTCCCACACGATTTCGCGTCCAGGCCCAGATAAATGAGCGGATATCTGACATCACTGGGCATTCCTTCCTCACCCACGCTGCTGGACTATGTGGGAGCGGCGCTGTTCCTCGGAATCCCTGCAGTCGCCATATTTGTGAGTGGGGACTAAAGTACCGAAAGTGATGAATGAAAAGAGAGTGGAGGAGCGCGATCGGAATGTGGGAGATGGCAGTTTCCGTTGAGCGGCATCCGTGACCGTCTCGTTGTTCGTGAATTCTGTAATGTGACCTTGGATTGCTACTCGCACATTCACAGGAGGGCGTGTACGGCGATATCACCAAGGAGAGGGAACAACGCGATGCAGAAGCGAGAAGGAAAAAGTTCCCCGCAGACACGAGTGAGAGCTCCTCTCTTTGCCTGTCTGCCGAAAAGTCCCGGGACGTTCATACCCGAATTGCATCCACATTCGACCAGTCATCCTCCACCAATTTCCTCGTCCGGACAACCTCCCATCGTCATCCATTTTCTGCTTGAAGGCAGAAACGCTTCTTCTCTTTTCGAACGCGGTTTACGAGAACGACCTCACGCCTTCGACACGCGGGTTTCCGAAGGGGAAACTACCCGCCTTTTCGTACAACGGGAAACTGTTTCAGGACAGCCAAATAGGGTACTCGGCGCTCGTAAGGGGAGCTTTTGTGAAGGATGTCGAAGAAGGGTTGGACGAAGAAGTGAGGGCGAGGAGTGCGGCGTTCCGAGCGTTGATTGAAGAACAGGCGTGGAGAGTCTTACTGGTGCGTACGTGCATTTGGTCCAACGGAGGGGGGGTGGATGTGGGGGTGGTGGTGGTGGCGGCCAAGGGGAGGCCATCCATGAAAATACGGGTATTGTGGTGGGATGGTTGCAGTTCCCACAAGTCCTCGAGCTCACTTCCTCACATCGTAAATTGATATTGTCTCGCCATACTCCTCTCGCCACACTAGCATGAGCGTTGGCTCGAAAACCGGCACAAGACGGTCGACTCTCTTCTTGACAAGGTTCCCGCGTTGATACGAAGTTTGGTCGCGTGGGCGATACAAAACGGGTGAGTGCCATGGCCCACTTGTGTGCGAGTGCCGCTGATAATCGGGACGGCGGAATAATGCGGTGCACCTGGAGGTGGAGATATGTCAAGGTTCGCTTTGTCTCAACGTTCCCACATTCCTTTGCCAGTGTCTCCCAAGAACTCCATGTCACCGGAATCTCTCGCCACACTCCTGCTGAGCGCGACGCCCACCTCTTGCCGAACCTCCTGGACGCTTTGTCGGCCCAGCTTGGACACCATATGTGGCTCTTGGGGACAGAGGAACCCACCAGCGCCGACGCGTCTCTGTTCGCGTTCCTAGCAAACGCCATATACTACAAGGAGGGCAGTCCGAAGGTGGCCGCTGGTATCGCGTGAGTCAAATGTTGCTCTGTTGCTGTTGCTCTCGAGGAGTGCCACGTCAGTAAACACACACACACCCCAACTGCAGTGAACGAGAGAACCTGCACAATTACTTCCGGCGCATTCGAGAAATTCACTGGTCACAATGGGATGCGACGGGTGAGGATTGAGTGTGCAATCTCTGCCGTACATCGAACCTAATAAATGGACATCCCTTTCCTGTCTACTCGTGCTCGGTGGCATCTTTCATTCCGTGCTCTGCGCCACTGCAACGCTCAACAACGAAACAGACCCGCCAGAAGCACACCTCGCACACCTAGCTCGCGGAGGGGTTGGAGCCAAGTCTGCATAACGATTAAGGCGTCTGGCAGCATAGGGTTATGATATATTATTAATAAGAACTAATTTCCAGGAAGAAGACTCTTTCTGGTGCGTTTCACTGAGAGTTGGCGGCGCACGAGCCACGAAGAGAAGCGATATGTGTTGACGATACGGAGATACAGAGGGAAAGCTCAAGGGCGATACGCAAACAGTTCCAGTTGAGTGTTGTGAAGATTGAACTCAATGGCCTCGTACGTGGTGTCACTGTCTCTCTGAATCGCTCAAGTAGTGAGCGGGCGGGGCGGGCGGGTGCGCCGGGGAATCACTTTATCGAGGAGTGAGGACCGTGGGATTCGGCCTTAAAGGTGTTCCAAGAGCAGGTGCGGAGTCCGCTCGGCGGAGGAAAACGCCGACAAATGTCCCCGTGGTGGTCGTTGTTGTCGAATGGGCGCACGCCCCATCGGAAGGACCCCAGAGAAAAAAATACGGCCATTTATTTCACTTTGAATCAATGGTCGTGTACATATTAAAGTCGATGAAGGGATCGAAGTGTTTCCGGAGAGCAATAGGGCCCCGAGGCTGAAAGAAGCGTGGCGTTCACTGGACAAGGGACCTGCTGTTCTCGTGCAAAAGTGGCCAATTGGGTCGGCGCTGTGCACGGCTACGTCAAAGGGCTCAAGCTGGTCACTGTGCCCAAAATTCTGGGCGCGGGGGCGGATGTTTCGGGTGGCGAGTGTGCCGCAAACTCTCCCCAAAACTTCAAACACCCTTATACAGGATCGAACCGGCGACGTTGTGGTTGCCGAGCAGCAACTTATATTTTCGAACTGGTCGCACGCATCTGATGATGGTGAATCAGTTGGAAATTTGTGGTCTTGTGAGGTTGAAAAGGTGGTTGGTATCGTGACAAGCATTTGATGTGAATAAAAAAGCTTCCGGGTTACCGGGATCGAACCGGTGACATTAACGTTGCCGGTAAGCAACTTACAGCGTTACGCTCTTCCAACTGAGCTAAACCCGGCTTCCTTGTTACATGCACTAAATTTATTTGCTATTTATACATTATTAATACTAAATTTACACTGTGAAGTAAAAATGTATTCTCTGAGCGATCGTGGACAGTATCACAGTGCCTCATCCATGTTTGTGCGTTGCGATTATGCAAGGTGATGTGAGGTCAAACTCTTTTAAGTGTAGTAATAAGTTGAATTGTATCTGGTGACCAGGGCACACTCGTTGCCGGCGTTATACCAGTTTGGTGTCCGGGAACCGTCACATTGTGGATGGCCGCCATAAGCACCGGGGCACTGGGTGCGGTAAACGTTACTTTCACGCGATCTCGCGTTCATGTTGTTGGTTTTCTTGCGTATTAAGAACA